CTGCTGCTGTCAGCGATCGATCCCGCTTCCGAACCCCTGCGGGGACATCGTTTACCGCCCGAGAGCCGCGCCCGTGCTCCGCGAGCGGCCACGGCCGCACAGGGCACCGGGGGCCGTAACGCTCCTGCCGCCCGAGCCGCCCGCGCCGTGACCCAGATCGAAAGGGCGGGCAGATCCAGGAGCAGTCGGCTCTCTGGGAACCAAGGAGCGGAACAGGGCGAGCACACGGACAACCCAACCCCGCGTTCCCAGCGCCCTGATCCCAGCGGGATCGCTCGCTCCGCTCCCAGACGGAGCGCTCGGGTGGGGGGGAGGCGCGATGCACAGCGGGAGCTGTAGTTCCATGCGGTGCACGCCGGGAGCTGTAGTTCGGAGCGGGGGCAGGGGGGCGGGGCGGGGCCGCGCTTCCCGTGACGGAGGCCGGGCGGAAGTTTCAGCCGCGGTCGTGTCGCGCCCGCACGTGCGGCGGGAGCCGGAGGAGCGGGCAGAGCGGGATGGCGGCGGCGGCGGCCGCCGGGGAGGATCTGCGGTTCCGCCTGGCGGATCCGCTGAAGCTGGTGGCGCGCAGGAACGAGAAGAGCAGCGCGGAGCTGAGCAGATTCCTGGCGAAGCAGGTGGGAAGCTCGGCAGAAGCCCCCGAGAGCCCGCTGTCCCTCCGGGCGGGTCCCGCGGGGAGAACTGTGGAGGGGAAGGGGGCACTGCGCCGCTGGCCCCCTCTCCCCGCCCCGTGCCGCCGTCTCCGCCCCGCAGCTTTGTCTGCGGCCCCCCCCGCCCCGTGCCGGCCCTGAATCCCCGCTCTCTGCCTGCCCCTTCGCCCTCCCCCTGTTGTGGTGTCTTGCCCTCCCCTCCCCTTGCAGGGCTTCAGACCGTGAGGCAGGTCCTCTCCTGTGTTCTGGTTCCTCTCCCGAGAGGGCATTTTGCCCCGCAGTTAAAATTTTCGGTGTCTGCCATGTCCCTTAAGGTGACTCTGGAAGCGTGATAGCCAGAGGTGGGATGTTGTTATCAAGCACTGAGACCGTACTAGTTCCTACCCTGATGCTGTTTCCTGGTGCTTTTTCTTTAATTGCCTTAAAACTGCACGTGAGACACGTGGGATGAAAAGGCAGAGGGCTAGATTTTCTAGGGTTTGCTTCGAGATTTTTCTTTAATCACAGTCTCACAAATTGTAGGGATGCTCGAAATATGGTCGTTGTAATAACTTTCATGCTTTGGCTGCCTGAACTCTGAAAAGCACACCTGCCTTCTAGGAGAGTTGAGGCCAATCTCCTTTCTGTCTCTGAAATCCTTGAAGAGATGTAATAACAGGATAACAGCGCATCAGATGTTGTTTCATTAATACACTTCACGATAAAGCTTTTGAAGCCCTGAAGTCGTGTACACATTTTGGGGCTCAAAGTCCATATTTCTCTTTTGAGTGTCTAGGAAATTTCTCAGTTGTTTGAAGATGAAAAGTCTAAAGTATCATGTTTTTTCAGAATATTGGCTTTTAGTCTGATTGCTGTCTCTTACTTATGGTTGGGGAAGGCTTTCATCCTGGTAGTCAAGGTTCTTTGTTGGCAGACAGATGGCTTTTTCTTCTGTCGCAGCAAATCACAGGATCAAAGTAAAATTGACATGAATATATATTCCTGAGATGAAGAGTTGATGCTCATTGGTGGGAAGCAGTCATGAAGGGTTGCTATCCAAGAGAAAGAAACAGATGAGGAATAGAGATGGGGATGGTGTGGATACATGATGCAGTAGACAGATGGAGCAGTGAACCAGAAGTGAGTCACCGAGGGCTGAGATAGAGGAAGAGATCGTGCCCTTTCCCTTCTGCTGCCTGGAGATACACTTCAGGTTTAAAAGTCTTGCTAGGTGGAAATTATTAAATAGTGATTGTATGGAGGGCGTTTGGAACAGCATGTTAATTAGCAATTATGCATCCTTTTGAGAAGTGAATTGCTATTTCCAGGCTTGGAAGCTGCAGATCTAGGATTATGTTAGGTTTATCTTGCCACTAAATAATCTCCGATTCCCGATGTCGTACCTCATTTCGTACAAGTTACTTTGTAAGTAACCGAGGAAGCATGCATTCTGGAAACCCAGAGCTCCCTTTGCCCTGCAGCTTCATTATGTCTTTCTGGCAACTTACTTCTTCAGTGTTACATAATGGAATAAAACTTGCTCACAACTGCTGAGTAAGGAACGGTCTTTTGAGGTTCATAGTAAGACACTGTTTAATGTGTTGATGGAAGGTCTGGTTCCATTGCTTGAGTATGTAATAGAGCCTTTTTTGTAGAGTATTAGTGTATAACTTAACTCTGCAAAGGTACAGCAAATGTCTGTGCTCTTAATGAGGAAAATAGGATGAAGAGCTCTCTAAACCAATCTTTGTTTCCTGCCTCACCGTTTTTGAATAATTTAAGCAAACTGTATAAGCAGTAGGGTCCACAGATGGCTACAATGTGCTTTTGGTTCTTTGGTGTGTCACCAAAGGTGTGTCAGGAAGTCTTCCTGCATAGAATTTTCAGTTCAGCTTTTTGCAAATGTATATGTTTTGGCTCCCTATAGTGGTGTAATTTCAATTAAGAAGTTAATTGCTGTTTAGCTTGGCATCCTTCATTTTGCCTTCCAGTTTGCAATGTTGCAGTGAAAATTGTCTTAATAATAACTCTAAGCTCTTATTTTTAGTCCTTCAGTCTCAGCATTTGATATTGATAAATGCTTTTATTCATTTATATTAATAAATGTTGGGAAAAAGAGGTGACCTACCTGTCCCAAATTCACACAGCTACTCATTGACTGTCAGAAAAATGTCCTGGCAACCAAGGCAGACCTTTTTTTTTTCTCCTAAAATATGACTTCAGCTTTTTATTTGAAAGACTAATTAGGCTTTACATCATGTAACATTATAAATAAGGCAACGTGTGCTGCACTTTTGTTCAATCCTGGACTGTACTGTCTAGTTTTTGAAGGGCTCTGATTTTTGGGAAACAGTTTGTTAGTGATACAAAATCAAAGGGAACATTTCTTGCTGTTCTTGAAGGAGAGATCTATCTAACCCTTTCAAAGAGGATATGCTGGGAGAGAGAGGTGTAGGAAGTTCCAGCCTG